ATATATATATATATATATATACATATAATGTATTTACATATCTAACACTCAAACGTTTGATATTTACGTTATTATTTTTGTTTTGTAATTTAATTTTATTTATGCTTTGATGAGATGGTCCTGTCTCTAGCTGTCATTATTTTTCATTTTTTGTTACTCTATATTTTTAAGGGGTGTTGTAATTGCTAATCTTTGATATATATATATATAAACTAAAGGAATGGTCGGAGGGTATGATACGAGCCCTGATCATCATTCATGCGCCTATAATTCGAGTACCACACCCTACATTCGGGGGAAATCGAATCCCAGATTAGAGGGGACTTACAACTGACAAGCAGATGCGCGACCAACTGATCTGAGTATGCGGCGTGTCGCTAAAGCAATTAATATAAAACATTATGATTTTTTTTTAATTATTTAATCCTATTATTCTTTAAATTAACATTAAATAAAATACCGTGTTTATATACCTTTTTTAAGCCTTCAACACTCCATTTTAAATATTGTTGTGCCAAAACTTATTCAGAATTCTTTATAACAACAAAACCTTTATCCCAATAAGTGGGGTCTATTATATGAATTCTTTGCATCGCATTTAGTGTCATTTTGTTTAAATCTAATAAATTAAGATAATTTTTTTATATAATATGCACAAGTCTTCTTAGGTCTACCTTTGCCTTTCTTAACATAACTCAAATCTAAAACATCCACTAATCTAATCAGATCATCAGATGGTTGATGTTTAATAATTGAATTAGTATATTTTGATTACATTTTTTTAAGATAAATTTATTTTTTTTTTTCAAATTTGTTTTGAACTAAATAAATTATATATTTGCAGTGTAAATTAATTTAAACACTATGTGTTTCTCTAAATAAATTTAAATATTACAAAGTTCATTTTGATCAAATATTATTTAGGTATTCTCATCTAACTTCTTTTGTTTTGATACACCAATTAGAACATTCATATATCCTTGTCCATAGCGGTGTAAACAAGTCGAATGGGAGCGAGCCTAGGCTCAGCTCGTGTTCGGCTAGTTTATATTTTGAGCTTAAAAAGTGTGTTCGTGTTATGCTCGTTTTTTTAGCTAGTTGAATACAACTCGTTCACGAATAAAGAGTCGTTTGACAACCCTAATCACGTAGCCATAAGATGTTAAAGATTGGTGTAAGATTTAAAAATTTGTGTTTATATTAAAACATCATTTGAATCCAAGTTAATAATTTTAATTTTGTTTTCTTAATTAATACTTGAATTGATTATAAATCTTTGTAGTTTAGTAGTCAATTAATTTTTTTAAAAATACTACTCATCAAAAATATAGATATATATATATATGTTTATATATAATTGATTGGTAGTATTTTGAGCCAAAACGAGCCGAACACGAATGAACAAAGTTTTCTTCGTGTTGTTCGTGTTCGGCTTGTTAACTTAGATAACGAATCGAACACGAGCTTCTTAACGAGTCGAACACGTGTTGTTCGTGAACAACGAGCTATTTTGACAGCCCTATATGTCCCATTAAATCCGTTCAATCTGTGTTAGTATTCAAATTTAATAATAATTTAACAGTTTAATTCAAAATTAACCTTTCAATTAAAATTGCCAATTTAATTTTTCTCTTAGAAAAGAGCATCTACCTTGCTTTGTTATAAGCTACGTTGAATTATACGCATCATACTCATAATTAATTATTCATCTATAATGAAATATGATTCTCTGCAGGACCATAATTGCTGCAATCAAATATCTCCCAATTTACTAAATTGTCTTATATAAAATTAATAACTTTTATAATAATTCGGCTTGTACGGGGCATTGTAGTTCTCTAAGGACAGCAGTTGCTTATTATTCTCTATATCATGTGTTATAGGAGAAAAAATTTGGGTACGTAAGACGTACAAGCGCTGCGTATGTCAGAGTATCAGTTAGGTTATTCAGAGGGTATTGGGGGTTATATCCGCGTTATACCTCCTGTAACCTACTTGTACCTTCTAGTAAGTTTCGCGCTATTGTTTTCATATATTTGTAGATTACAACGGGTATAACGCGGATATAACCTTTCAATACCCTCTGAATAACCTCCGTGACGTACGCAGCGCTGTGTACGTCTTACATACGCAAAATTTTCTCTGTGTTATAGAGCTGGAGACAGAAGAGGTGCTCTACTTCTTTCGATCGCTCAATAATTAATATTTATTAATATCCTTACATTGATTAAACAAATTTTATATTTAATTAAAGATTTTTAAAGATAAATAAAATGTTAAACAATCGGACTGAATTACAACTTATTATAAAAGTTTGAGAAAGTTTTAAGTGGGCCGGAAAATAAAGTTCCAATTATATTTATTTATTTATTATTTTTGACTTTGAGCCCCACAAAAGCCCGGCCAAGTTTAAGTATGGTGAGCTGTTCAATATTGTAAATATATAACAGCTATATCCAGAAAAAAAGTTCAAAATTATTTATAAAAGTTGATTTGACCAACATAAACCTTTATTCACACTTATATTGTTTATAGATTTGAATACATTTGACTAAACAGATGTTTAGTACAAGATACAAGAAATGAAATAAATTGTCAAATAAGCATTAAATGAGTAATACTTTTGTGCTTCTTGTTGGAACATGCAGTTATAATGAATTAATGGCATAATGCTCTCAAAGTAAATATGAAGCATGAGAGGACCAAAATTTTGTGTGGATAGAAAATATGTCAGCGCTCATTCTGAGATCTGATTGTTGATGAAAAAGAGCCTACTGATAGATGCCAACTCATCTGATCGGGTGTAGTAGTCCAAGTCGAAGCTAGCAAGGTGATTCAAGTTTAGTCAACCGACGCTGATTAAGCCCAGCAGACCGAATTGGACTTGCAGAGTCGAAGCCAATCAAGCTCACTCGATTGACTAAGCCGAGTGATAAGCTCATGCCTGTAAAATACCAAGATTATTTTGCACAACTCTTATAAAAGCATGCGCAAAAATGTAACATCACAATATTGTACTATCTCTCATATAAATAAAGAGAAAATTGAATTAGCCATACAGGTTTGGAAGGGTTAACACAATTGAAATAATTTACTGTTCATTGCAGTTCACACTTCTCTCCCTCTCTCTTCTTTCTTACGCTCTCTATCTTGGATGTGATTCAATGACAAATCAGAATTTAGCGTATACACACAAATTTTCATTTTTTTCTTCATAAAATATTATTTTTATAAAATACATTAAAATAAAAGGACAAAAAATTGTTAAAACTTATCAAGTAAAATTCATATAACCAGAATCAACTATCATAAGATAAAAAAATGATACCAGAGGTTTTTGTTCCTTATATCAGTTTTAAACGTTATATTGTTTGTATATATATATATA